GGGGGAGGAGGGGGAGGCCAGGGGAGGGGGGAGGGAGGGGAGGGGTGGGGAGGGGAGGGGGGAGGAGGGGGATGAGCTGAATCGGAGATTGTCTCAACCGGCCCTCCTCTCCCGCTTTGGAATCGGCACCTCTATGTGTGTGAGTTTGTGTGTGTATGTGTATGTGTCGACACCATCCGTTGACTTCCTTCGCCTCCCCCCTTTCGTTATCGTATATTCCCCCCTCCCCCCTTGACCCCCCTCTCTACCCGGACCCTGTGCCGTACAGGGTCAGTACAGGTGTCCGCTTCTTCCTCCCGGGTCCCTTTAAACTGGGGCCGCGACTGTCGTACGCCAACAACGTCGTCTCCTTGCTGTGGGTCATCACCGTCACGGTGCTCTTCACACTGCCCCAGGTGTATCCGATAGAACTTATAAACATGAACTGGAGCGCCCCCATACTGGGCCTGGCCGTGGCGCTTGCGCTGGCCTGGTGGGTTGCATGGGGTGGGGGAGGGTAGGAGGAGGGGTAGGGGGTAGGAGGAGGGGTAGGGGGTAGGAGGAGGGGTAGGGGGTAGGAGGAGGGGTAGGGGGTAGGAGGAGGGGTAGGGGGTAGGGGTAGGGGTAGGGGGTAGGAGGAGGGAGAGGGGAAGGGGTTGGAGCAAAAACGGTACAAACGGTGTACAATGTGTATATGTGCGTGTATACGTGTGTATATGTGTGTTCATCAATTTTCCCCCTCCCCGGGTCTTGGTGATCATTATGACGGCAGGTACTACTTTCCAAAGTACGGCGCCAAACACTGGTTCATCGGTGAGAGAGTTCCAAGATCTGGATCTGGCGATATTTGATGCCGTACGGGAGTAGGGATGAAGAAGGGGCGTTGTGGAGAAGTTTTACGGCTAATTTGCGGCCAAACGTGGTACACCAATCGTGATGTTTTGTCGCCCAATGCGCGTTTAGTTGGTAGTTAGGCTAATGATACGCCCTGGACCCGTGCACACGTGCGGAACTGATGAAATCGCTACAACTGATAAAACCATAAACAAAACTTTGCGGATCCTCCCCCCTTCTCCCCTCCTCCCTTTTTCCCTCCTCCAGGTCCTCGGGCGAACCTCGGTCAGTTCAACGATGTGCTGCCGTCGGAGGTGACCAGGATGGCGTCGCAGGACGCAGCATCGCAGGAGGCGGCGGCGGCGGCGGCCGCCGCCGCCGCTATCACCGCCGCGTCGCGGTTGTCGCAAGTGGTGGAAGAACCGGACATGGAGCCAATCGCCGCCGCCGCCGCCGCGGCGGCAGCAGCAGCAGCTACTGCGGCGGCGGCGGCGGGCGCCGCCGCTGCTTCTGCCGCCGGCGGCACCGCCGCCACCTGCACCTCCGCCGCTCCCGGGCTTCATCCCGCAGAGCACCGCAACAGCAGCGCCACCTGCGTCCGCCGTATTTCACGGCACTCGTCCAACAAGGCCCTCCGCGCCACGCCGTCCGTCACCGCAAGCGGCTTCTTTCCAGTGGCGGCGGCGGCGGCGGCCGGGTGTTTATCAAATGACGGCGGCGGCGGCGGTTGCGACAGCAGTCAGGACAACGTACTGCATTACAGCGGCAGCTTGGGTACGAGGATTCGCAACGGCGGCGGCGGCGGCAGCGCTGCCGCTGGCGTGGCGGCGATTGCTAGCAGCCCCACGCACCGCCACGCACCCTCTGAGCCCGCCAATCGGTCCCGACGTTCCTCGGCGGTCAGCCTGCTTGACGGCCGTCTGTCGTGCGGCTCCCATATCGTACAGCTGCTACAAGATACGGGGTTGGTGGATGAGAACGGCCTGCAGGCCATGGCGGCGATGTACGGCGGCAGCGATAGCAGGGCATCGTTGCCGACGGTGACCGACGGCCGGCCGCTGCACGAGCGGGATCGGGAACGTGAGCGCGGCGGCGGCACCGCCACACGCCGACTGTCAATCTTAAGCGGCAGCAGGCCGTCAGCTGGCGGCGGCGGCGGTGGCGGCGGCCGCGTCGATGGCAGCTTTGCCATTTGGGCTGGTTGGTCGGGTGGCAGTAGCGGTGGTCATACTGGCGGTAGCAACGGCCGCGGCGGTGGCGGTGGCGGCGGCGGCGGCGGCGGCAGCTCCTCAAGGCTAAGCAACGGCGGCGGAACCGCCAGCGGGACGCGTGAGGGACGCGGTCGGGACCGGATGAAACCAGCTGTACAAGTTCTGACGGCGGCAGAAGCCCGAGAAGGCGGCTGCCGCAGCGCCGGCGCCGGCGGCAGCAGTACTTCGCTGCTGGCGCTCGGAGGTAGCTTGCGAGCTTTCCAGCTCCACCCCTACACAGCCCGCTATCTCCACCATCACCAACAACAACACCTGCACCATCACCTCAATAACCACCACCACAACCTCTTGTTGTCTTCAGCTGACAACATCCTAGTTCGTGAATCCGATAGCGGAATGCAAATTGCCGCCTCCGCCGCCAGCGCCGCTACCGCCAGCGGTGCCGCCAACGCAACGCGCCGCCGCCGAGCCTCCGTTGCTGCCGATGCGCTTATCGCAGAGAGCGACGATGGTGGTGACGCTGGCAGTGCCGTCGCTATTTCCGATGCCAACGGTGGCGGCGGCGGTGGCGGCGGCGGCCGCGAGGACGAGCAAGACTGCTTGGAGCGAGGAGGGGGCCGATGGACGCCGCCGGCCTCTCTTGGATGCGCCTGGTAGTGGACGTGGAGGCGGTGGGGGAGCTCGAGGGCGGTGCTGTCCCTGCGAGTGGCCGTGGTGGTGGTGATCACGCCGCCGCTGTTGTTGTGGTCACGGGCATCGCTTGGGGTTGTCGTACATTAAGGCGGCCGCGCTGATGGCATCGCATTGTACTGCCCTGTACTGCATTTGGAATTGTGCTTTATTCATAGTGGAGAGGGAGTGGGGGAAGAGGGGGGAAGAGGGAGCAGAGGGGGGAAGAGGGCGAAACTAACACGGGAAGTACGGACGGTACTGCTGCCGTACTACGCATGTGTATTTACCTGACAGAGATCTCAGGTCCTGGACATCCACATCTCGTCTCCTGTCGTTTCCCTCTCATCTCGTCGTGCATTGATCTGGGTTTATAACTGCATTGCAACATTATGGTATAGAAGATTTTAGGGTCATATGTATGTATGTATGTATGTATGTATGTATGTATGTATGTATGTATGTATGTATGTATGTATGTATGTATGCATGCATGCATGCATGTATGTATGTATGTATGTATGTATGTATGTATGTAGCTGCTTCCGTATGTATGTATGTATGTATGTATGTATGTATGTATGTATGTATGTATGTATGTATGTATGTATGTATGTATGTACCTGTGTGAGTATGTATGTATGTGTGAGTGTGTGTGTATGTGTTCATGCCGGTGTGTCTGGGGGGTTGGAGCAGCGACAAGGTGCTAGGACGACATATTCCAGGTGCCCATACGGCACCGCGCGTGTGTGTGCGTGTGCGTGTGCATGTGCGTGTGTGTATTATACGTCATAGACAACTGGCAGATATGACCCCGGAGGCCCCTGAGGAGGGGGGGGCCAGCTACCGGAGGACATACAGACACACGCACACACAGGCCGGGGAGGGCCCCGAGGTGGTTTCCCCCCCTTTCGCGGTCCTAACGGAAACCAACCGCCTGAGGTGGCGGCGCTCTCGGTTGTGTCCTGATCAGGATGTTTCCCTCCTCTCCTTGCCCCTCCCCTCCTCTCTCATCACCATCATCACTGTCACACCACCATCCTCTCCATCATCACACCGTTACACATTGGCAACTCCTTTCGCTCGTTGCCAACCGTCGGTGCGTGTGTTTGTCGGCGGGCGCCTGCCGGGTGTAGTCATTCTTGGAGAGGTAGAGCTGGCGAATGATAGCGCCATGTTTTACCGCACGGCACGTTTTGCTTCCCCCTACAACCCCCCTCCAGGCTCCCTTCCTTCGGGTTGAAGCTGCGAACGGTTTGGTCTCCACACTCACTTTTGCGAACCGAACATGCGTGCTGTCACCAACCCCGTGAGCGCCCCGCGATGGCTTAACAAGCGGTTTCTGTGATATGTCTGTCCCGCACAACACCGCCCCCCCCACCCCCCCCCCACCCCCCCGCACACACACCGCTAAGAGTCTCCTTTGCTTGGGGGGGGGTATGCCAGGCAGCGAAACAGATGATGGAGGGGGGGGGAAAAGCGGTGCAGGTGGTTACGAACACAGAGAAGAACCGCATCGCCGTACAGGATCTGTACCTGCGCGGCAAGGAAGATGTTTTGTTATTGTCATAATTGCTGTTATTTCTGTTATTGTTGTTGTCGTTATTGTTATTATCGTTGTTACTGTTGTTGCTGTTCCCCTTTTGGAGACGTAGAGGGTTGCGAGTGAGAGATCTGTCCGCTGGTCCTTAGAGAGATGAACGGAGAGGTTGTGGAACGGTTATACGAGCAGTTGACGGTAACTGTTTTCGGTTGACCAATTTGAGGGACATGGTACCCCACATGGATGCATCCACTGAATTCAATTCCAGGACACGCCGGTGCGGAGGAGCAAACTATTGGCATAGAGGGAAGAGGGGGGGAAGAGGGGGGGAGGCCGGAGAGGAGTAAAGAAGAGAGAACGCGGCGGCAATGGAGGGACGGGGGGAGTGCTAGGGGGGTAATGTTGTTCTGGGTCCGGCACGGGGGGGGGGTGTTCGCTATTTGTGCGCAACAACCTACACACGTATCTAGGTGGCGGTTGGCTGTTTGCTGGCGGTTGGCGGTTGAGTGTTTCTGCCAGCGGCTGGACGGGCCGTACCAGTCAATTAGCCTGGTCCGAAAAAGTATGCACACCACACATACAAACAGACAGACAGACAGTCAGGCAACGGTGCTTTCCTCTCCTTTGTTGGTTGGTATCTCTTTAACCCCTCCCGCTGGGGCTGAGGGCTTTGCGTGCGTGTTCGTCTGTCTCTCGTCCGTCCATGATACCTGCACAAGGAGGGGGCTGTGCGCCTGTGGCCTCCTTTCTGCAGGGCATTGCCGTACACCTTGCGACATAAAGTGAAAGAGAGAAAAAAAGCTTTATTCATTGCGGCATCATTGTTAACGTTTTGATGTTGATGACGATGGCCACCATTCAGCTTACGTGATCTCGACCTTCGGTGCCATGCGGCGTATATGGGTGGCATGTGTATGAACGCATGTCTGTATACTAGGCATGTATGTATGTACGTATGTCATGGTGATGTTGACTCCCCCGGGTCCTCGCGATGGCCCCTTTCCACTGGTCCCCTTGGGGGGGGGAGAGCCACATGACCACCACCACCTCCACCACCTGAGATCTGGAAAGCCAACCGTTTACCTTGACACACACACATACACACACACATACACACACATACATACACACACATACATACACACGCAGGGCAACCATTAACATACATACGGATGTACGGTGGTGGTTAAAGCAGTGGGAGAGGTCCATTACTTTCGTTGAAAGGCGTAGCGACGTGTGCTGCTACTGTTTGGAACTGGGGAGATCGGCCGGAGGAGGGAAGAAGGGAGCATACTAGATGTGTATGTATGTATGTGTGTGAGTGTGTGAGTGAATGCGTCATGGTGTGCCCACGCCATCTCAAAGTGATGGACCACCTGATGGCGGTCAGGGAATGGCAAAGTCGATTCAACAAGAAGAGGGCAGAGGGCGAGAGCCGATGTGTATGTATGTGTATGTATGTATGTGTATGTATGTTCATCCCCTTCGTTTTCTTCCCCGAAGGCGAACCCAAAGTCATCGTCCCCGGGTTTAATTGATACAACATTATGTATTCGATCAATATTATGTATGTATGTGCCTGTATTTATGTGCTTTTGCATCTTGTATGTGTGTGAGAAGGCCGCCGCCGGAGTAACGCGTCCTGACGCGTATCGTTGTGTATGGCGTTGTAGGCTTCATAAGAGCAGGTTGTAGTAGCTGTCGTACAGTACGGCTCATACCACCAGTGCATGTGCGCGTTAGAGCTAGTGTCTCCCGCACCTGGGCGGCCACTTGGTCAGCTGCTGCGGCTGCTGCACCGGTGCGGTGGCGGCTGCGGCGCTCAAATCGTGCAAATCGGTCCATCATCATCATTACCACCATTACCATCTATCCGTATCTCGGCGCTCAAATCGCTGGAGGGAGGGCGGAGGAAGCGCAACGTCCAGGCCAGCCCGGCCTGGGCCTCACCATTGTGTGTCACTCGTAAAATAAAAGGAGGCCTGCTATCCTTAATCTGTACAGTGAGGGCCTTACCACTATTTTGCCGTACAACTATCCTCCTACGTGCTTTTCCGTATTAATTTGTTAAATACATCCCATCCCTCCCTTTTTGAGTGGGGCCCATCAGGCAGTTGGCCTGCTGGTGGTGGTGGTGTGAGGTTGGAGGGTGGTCGACACATCAAGATGACTTTGCTGGTTTTGAGCTGAAAGCACTTCCGGACGGGATGATCAGCAGCAATCAACGGATCGATTGTTGGGTGTGTCTTTTAAAGTGTAAAACGTCCCTGGTTGCCAGATAGAGCCCTTGAGTGTGTGTGTGTGTGTGTGTGTATGTGCGTGTGTGTCTCCGTTTTTTCGCCTTTGAGCTGCTTTTCGCCTTTGAGCTGCTTTTCCTGACGGCGGTTCAGGCAGTGGGGGTTTGGCCACCCAGCCACCCAGCCGGATGAAGGGTGGGGGTCAGAATATCCCCCGACAGCGTGTGCTTGCGTGTGTGCGTGTGTGTAGGGCCTCAGGGAGCCGCACCCTACCCACCATCGCCAAGGCCAGCCTGACATCGATAAGTGACTGTGCATGAAGCACACATGCATACACGTACATACACACTTACATACACACATACATGTATGTACACACACGTACACGTACATACATACACAACGCGGTTAACTGGTCCGCGAGGGCCCCGCGGTGTACCGGGTGGGTCCAGGGTGGGCGTCATTCAAGTCACCATCCTCTCGTTGGTGGGATGCGAAAAGTCCGTTCCAAGGGACCGTGTTCGCAAAGGCCTTGAGGGAGCAACAATCGGCTCCTCACAGCTGTGCTATGAATTTACGGATTTATGACCCACGGGTCAGTAGTTCCCTTTCAGGAGTTAGGAGACTATTTAAAAATTTCCGTTCCGCCATCCGCATCTCTGAGAGGTGGTGACTCTCAGCGAACCATTTTAGGTGCGTATTCCTAAAGCCACAAATACGCAAATTTCATTTATTGTATGGTAAAGAGTAACATATATCGTAAAGTAAATGAATTGGAAATGGCGTGCGTATCCTTGAGGGAGTGGCCTGTGTCTGTCTCCTATTTTTGATAAGCAAACTGCTGAGGGACGATGTTCGGTGTTGTCATGGCCCGTCATGGCCAGAAAACTCCGAGGACGGCTCCCGGGGTCCAAAGAAAAGGAAAGGAAAGGGAAGATATAAACGTATCATCTGGAGGAGAGCAATTATGCATAACGATTAACAAAGCAAGAGCAAAACTAAAATGGAGCGACAAGCCCACACATGCACAGGAGAGCGTCGTTCATAAAATTTTGCAAACTTCAAATCGTCATCATTCTTTTGTTCGACGCCACCACCACCGCTATTCGCCATCACCATCCTCCTACGCCTCACTCGCCCCGCCGCACCCTCGCCGTTTGAAAATCTCGTGTTCATACGTCGATACGTCTTCCTCACTCCGCAACCACCACTCAACCCCACACCACCACCCGCCCACACCACCTCACATCGCCACACAGACCGCATAGAGGCAGACGCCCCATCAGGAGGTTCCCACCGCCGCGCAATTCGACCCGAGACTGCGATTTACGATATACAGTGATAACATCGAGACAGCAGGAGCAGCAGCAGCAGCAGCAGCAGTGCTGCTAGTTACCCCGCAAAGCAAAACCTTCGTGTCACAGAAAGGTGTTTAGGAATGCCGTCGTCCTGGCCGCTGCCGGGGGGAGATGTGGAGCCCGAGGCGGACAACGCGCCTGCCGAGGTGGCACAGGAGGCGGCAAGGGCGGCTCCGGAACCTGTCGTACCTCCCCTGGTCCCGGTGGTTCCGGAGGTATCTAAGGACCGCGTGCCGCTTTACCCGGCGGAGCTGGCAGCTGCAGCTGCCCCGGCGCGAGTGTGCGTGACGGGTGGGTCGGTTTGTGTTCGGACTGGTGGGTTTGTCGCTGGCATCGGGGGGGGGAGGAGGGGGGAGGGAAGGGGAGAGGGGGGTACGGCACCTACCAGGTACCTCTCTCTCCCGGATGCGCTCCTCCATGCCCCCTCTTCCCCCCCCCTCTCCAACCCCCTTGCCCCCACAATACACACACACACACATATACATACATACATACACACGCCTCCAAACACCGTCACCCTCAGGAGCTACGGGCTACGTGGCAGGTCCCATCGTGGCCAGGTTGCTGGCGGCGGGGCATACCGTACATGCCACATGCAGGTGGGGGTGAGGCGCGTGTGTCAGTGTGTATGGTTTGTGCGTATGTACCAACAGCAATACCAATATCACCCCACCACCCTCACCCTCACCTCCACCGCCCCAAACGGCTCCAGGGACCCCTCGGCCTCGGAGGCGCTCTCAGCGCTGAGGGCCCTCCCCGGGGCCGACCAGCGACTCAGACTGTTCCGGGGGGACCTCCTGACGCCGGGAAGCTTCGACGAGGCAGTGGGTACGTACGAGAACCCCCACAACGTGTGTATGTATGTATATATATGTGTGTTTGTATGTATGTGTATGTGTGTATTTGTGTGTTTGCCGCCCTACAATTGTCGTTCCCTAACTACCTGACTACTTGTCGCGTGCCGGCTCTCTCCTCCCTCACCGCCGTGACCTCCTAAGGGCCCCCGCCGGGCCGTCGGGAGTCACGTACATCTGTACATCTGTCTGTTTCTGCGGTCTGTTGTTTAATTTTGTAACGCTGCATGACGTCTCGTGTTTTGCCCTGGGCCCCTGGGCTGATGTCCGTACTGCAGAGGGTTGTGATTACGTCATCCACACCGCCTCACCTTTCACCTTGCTGGTGAGAGTGCGTGTGAGGGGGGCGGGGCGAGGGGGGCGGGGCGAGGGGGGCGGGGGGAGGGGGGGGGGAGGGGGGCGGGGGGAGGGGCAACAGAGAAGAGGCGGGATAGCGGGCGGGGGTGGGCAGGGGGGGGGAGCGCTGTGTGGGGGGCTCTGGGGCGCATTTGTTGGCCCCCCTCGTTGGCTGCTCGTTGGCATTTGTTGGCGGCAACCTTACTTGGTTGGCAACACACACACACACACACACACACACACACACACACACCACACACACACGCACACGCATACGTTTGTATGTGTGTGCGTGTGTGTGTATGCCGATACACCTTTCCCTGTCCTCCGCACGTCATGGCGTTACCTCCCTCCTACATACCCACATACTTACATATCTACATACTTACATACCTACATACCTACATACCTACATACCTACATACCTACATACCTACATACCTACATACCTACATACCTACATACCTACATACCTACAAACCCAGGTGAACCGCAGACGGGCGGTGGAGCAGCTGGTGGAGCCGGCAGTGCGGGGCGTGGAAAACGTAATCGGTGGGTTCGGGGGTTCGGGGGGTGTTTGGACGGATAGGTGCACGTGGACAACACGAGCTGTTTACTACGTGCCTGCCCTCTGGCCTGGCTGCCCTGCGCCACCATGTCCCGGACCTATCTATGGGTTTCACACCACTCGTCCTTGGTGGGTGGTGCGAATGTTGGTGCTCGTGGTGCCTGTGGGGGTGCCCGCCCGCCATTGACCTCCCGTCACAACCCCACAAACGCCAAATACGGCAATACACATCACATCACATACGACACGTGGCGCGCAACAGCTGCTGTTAACAAGACGAAGAGTGTACGGCGAGTGGTGATGACGTCATCGATAGTCGCCACCTACTCCCGGGCAACCGACCACGGGGGTCCGGATCGGCCGTTGGACGAGAACTGTTGGAACACAACCGCCAGCCCAACCTTCCTGCCGTACAGCTATTCCAAGACGCAGGCAGAGCGACGGGCTTGGGAGCTGTGCGAGAAACAAAACAGGTGCGTCGTGTGCGCTTTGCGATATATGCAATGAAGCGTGTATGTATGCATGTATGTATGTGCGCGCGTTGGTGCCTGTGGCGTGCCAGGCCGCGTCGGACGCTAATTTGTCTTCGTACCATCAGCCATCACTTTGTCACCCACCCAATCATGGCTCCCGTACCTAAGAGGAGGGTACACACGGCACAAACACACCCGTCCACCCCCCAATCCCCCCCCCAATATACACACACACCCCATCTCCCCCCCAATTTCCCCCCATCCCCTCCATCCCCCCCCCCCACACATACACATACATACATACAGGTGGACTCTGGTGGTGATCAACCCCGGTCTGGTTCTGGGGCCCCCCCTGGGCGCCAACTGCCGGGCCAGTGAAAGTGTGGCGCTGTTGAGGCGCATCTGCGCGGGCCTTATGTACCCGGCAGTGCCCAACGTGGGGATAGCCTACGTGGACATCCGAGACGTGGCGGCGGCGCACTCGGTCGCCATGACGGCTCCGGAGGCCAGCGGCAGGTGGGGAGGGGGAGGAGGAGGGGGAGGAGGGGGAGGGCAAGTACGACAATCGCTCTCAGTTTGTTGGGACGACAAGGGAGTTGTATGATGGGCAAGACGGGGATGAGAATGTGCTGCGGGGTGGTTGGGGGGCTGGGAGTGTGGAGGTTTTCTTCTCGTTCTCGGTTGCGGGGGGGTGCGGGTTCGTGCGTCTCTCGAGTCATGTACTGCCGTACTCGCACCACGCGACGTCTTCGCATTGTCGTCAACGATCCCAACACCCCAAACACGCATTCACTCCCCGCCGTCCTTCCCCTCGCCACGCCCGGGGGGGGGGTACAGGTACCTGGTGGTGGCGGGCGGGGTGCGAATGCGGGGACTCACCCAGATTATGGAGCAGCTGTATCCGGGGGGCCGAGTACGGACAGCCTTCCTGGCGGCGCCGCGCTGGATTGCCGTACGGCTGGCGCCGCTGCTGGGCATAGGGTCGGATTTCGTGGAGGCGTCCTGGGGGCCGCCGCCGCGGTTCAGCACCGTCAAGGCGGCGGAGCAGCTGGGCCTGAAGAGCTGGGTGCCGTTGGAGGCGTCGCTGTACGACATGGTGGAGGACCTCGCGGCGAAGAGGCTGGTACGGCATCCGCTGGTGTCGTTTCCGTCTGAGTGGTCGCGGCGGCGGCGGCGGCAGAAGCTGCGGCGATGGCTGCTGTGTGCGGCGGCGGTGGCGGTGCCGCTGGCGGTGGCGGTGGTCTTGCTGGTGTGGATGCTACATGGCCGCCGGAGGGGGGCGGAAGGGCAGAGAGGGCTGCGATGATGATGTGAGGTTGTGTGTAGAGGACTGCGGCCGGAGGGGGGCGGAACTGACGTATGACGAGGATGATCTTGATGGGGCAGGTGGAGCTGAGGGGGATATACCAGGAGGAAATACCAGAAAGGTTGTTGTCGTATCTAACCTAGTTATTTGTTTCCAGGGCATCATGGTCTCGAAGCTGGAATGTATTCGCGGGCAGTCAGATGATGGCAGGTCGTGCGGCGTTTCTTCGGCAAAGGATAGTGGATGTTTAAAATTACCGGCTCCGATTGGGCATACAATAAGTGGCTTGCGTTACTGTCTTGTCTGCAGGGTTCTAGCATCTTAGGTGATGTCGCGGACTAAGAGGCCGCGACCATTTGTAGGTTTTAATGCCCAAGCCGTCGTGTTGTCAAGATTTGCACGTGTCGCGGTTTGATGTCTCTTTTGCTGTTGGTTGTTGGAAGAACATCGTCTAGACCGTTGCCAGTTGCGTAGTCCCATGGGACGGTCCACTGAATGCATTTGCGTAGACTGCACAATTTACTGATTACTATAGCCAGCATATAAAATTTTAATTTTGGCTGGGTTCATCGCCGATAAGCGCTGCTCGTCCCGATAAAGTGTAGCGATAAAAGGGTTTCAACTGCCCGGCTAGGGGGTCGCGCATACCAGCTAACTTGATTTCAATAATGGGACCTACTAAGGAATCTTATACCTTACACAGTCGCAAATGGTATCTCCTTTTCGTGTCGAACTTTGGCCATGTGCCGCGGCTTTACCGCTTCCGTGTTGCAACACTACCGCGATTTCCTTAACAACAATTCCATAACTTTTGCCAGCAAGAAATGATGTCCGAGTCTCACGGTAAGACAATACTTAGGTCAACGCTTTGAGGACATTTCGTAAACCACCTTCTGCTATGCAACTCACAGCTCTCGAGGAGCTGCTGGAGGCGAATGGGATTCCGCCGGAGCAATTTCCAGCTGTGGCCAGCACGGTCACGCACCTGGAGATGTTCTTGCACCATTACCCTCGGGTGCGGATGGGGAGGCCGAGTGCGGGCATTTTGGAAACCTCGCCGCTGCCGCATGCCTTACGCAGCGCCCTTGACGTGAGGTCTGTATGGGATATATGCAGATGGAGGCACTGAACCACTTTCCGGCGTTGAAGACCCTTGCGCTCATACACCAGGTGGGCTGCGGCGTGCCCCCCTCCTACCCCCACCGGCGCCTCCACTTTTCATCGAATCCCATACCCATCGTCCCACTCCGCCCCCAAACCCCCCTTTCTCCCCACCACCACCACCATACACCACCATGCGCACCGCCATGCCTCCTCCACCCAACCCGCCTCCTCCTCCTCATCATCATCATCAGACATCTTCGTGGTGGTGGCGGTGCTGCCGGCTCTCGTGGCTCCCTGTCATCCTCCCCTCCCCCCCCCCTCCACCTTCCACCTTCCACCATCCTCGCAGTCGGAATCCTGTCCTCTGCCTGAGGCCCCCTCCCCTCCCCCTCCTTACCTTCGGCATTTCCTCTCCCGCCACTCCCACCCTCTCCCACCCTTCCCACATATCCTGTTAAGTCCGTATCCCCGTCCCGCCTTTCCGCCCCGGGGGAGGGCCTGACAGGAGCTCAAGGTGATCGAGGGCCTGGAGGGCTGCCCCCTGATTGAGAAGCTCTGGCTGCAGGAGAACGAGATCAGCCACATCCAGGGACTGGACTCCCTGCACCGCCTCAAGGAGCTCTACCTGTACGGCAACCACATCACGGAAATACGGGGACTCAACAAGCTCACACAGCTGGAGGTGGGGGGGGGCGGGGGACTGGGTAGGAATATCAGTTGGCAGTTGGGCGGTTGGATCAACCACCCCGGGTGTACTAAAGCGGTTGCGGATCAACCTCGGCGGCCTGATGCGCGGAAAGGAGAAAAGGAGAGGCGGTTGGGAGTTTATGGTGTCAATCAATTACAGAGGTACCGCTCCCTTCCTTTCTCTCTGTTGCCACTAGGTTCTGTGGCTGTCCGACAACTACATCTCCCGCATATCCGGTCTGGAGCAGCTGCCCCTCCTCCGGGAGCTGCACCTGGCGCGGAATGACATCGCCTTCCTGGGGGACGGCCTGGCGCCCTGCACCGCCCTCACGAACCTCAACTTGGCGGATAACAAGATTGGCAGCTTCAAGGTGGGGGGAGGGGGAGGGGGAGGGGGAGGGGTATGCTGGGAGGGGGAGGGGGAGGGGCATCTGCGGGCAGATGAGAGGACAAGGAGCTGGGGGGGGCCCGGTGTGCGGGTTTGGGTGGAGGCGGAGGTGTGCGGTGGTGGTCGTGATGGTGGTGATGGGGGCGGCGGGGAACTGGTCAGAGGTTCTTGGTGCCTGGAGAGAGTGAGCGCCCTGCAGAGGGATACCCCTGTCCCGCACCCGCAAGTGGACACGTGCACGTACGTTGCCCACGACTCCTCTCCCCGCGCGTCTCCAACTTTCCTCCCATACTCCAGTAAGCCAGCCAGCCAGCCAGGCGTTTGTGGGAATATTCCATTTCCTGCTCACCTTCCCCCCCGCCCCCCCAGGAGCTGCGCGCCCTGGCGGCCCTGCCCCGCCTGGTGGACCTGTGTTTGTCTGATCCGATGTGGGGCGACTGCCCCTTGGCGCAGCTGTGCAATTACCAGACGTTCGTACTGTTCGTCATGCCGCAGTGAGAGACACGGGGGGGGGACGGAGGGGAGGGGAGGGGAGTTAGTGCCAAGTGGGTAGGAAGGAGGAGGGAGGAGGGAAATAGGGGGGAAGGAAGCGAGGGGCCAGCGGCAGGTGGGTGGTAGCGGGGGGGAGGCGGGTTGAGAGTGGCGGCGCCGCCCCGCAGTGTTGTATGAAGTTGTTGGTCTGGTTGGCGATGTGATGTGATGTGCACGTGTGGATCGTAGGCGCCCTCTTCTCTTGCACACACTTCCATGCAGATACACAGACAGACAGATAGACACACGTACACGCACGGCGGATTTCCTCCTGTAAACACACCCGCACACAGATGCCGTACGTCGCTCCCCAATCCCCAACTGCCAACCGCCTCTCAGCCTCCTCCTCCCTCACTCCCTCTCCTCCTCCCTCTCCTCCCTTCCCCCCGAATACCCCCTCCCTCAGCCTCACCAGTCTAGACACATTGCTGCTAGCTGACGAAGCTAAGGCCCTGGCGGAGGCCACCTTCCTGAAAAAGCAAATGTACTACAACATGCGAGTGAAGACGTTACGACGTAACGCCCGACAGATTGTGAAGCTGGCGGCGGAGGGAAGACAGGTGTGGTGGGAATCGACGTGTCTGTGGCCGTGTCCGTGTGTATGTGTATATGTGCATATGTGTGTACATGTATGCATCAAATGGGGGGCCATTATCATCGAGTGTATGCGTATGTTAATGTGTGTGTGTGTGTATCTGTCTCCCTCCCTCACACGCAAACACACGCAAACACCCCGGCTCGCCCGGGCCCCTTTCCCCCCCTCCCCTCCCACCAGGCCCGGCAAGCCCTCCGCCAGCCCCTCAAGAACACGCTGGTACTGGCGGCTAAGGACCTGGAGCGGGAGATATATGACCTGAAGCAAAGCATTGCGGCAGCGTCTTCCGCAGCCGATGCCGCCGACACCTCCCCCCACCCCACCTCGCCAGCCCCTTCTCAGCAGCAGCAGCAGCAGCACCCTCACGTGGCCGCCCTGGAGGCCAAGCTGGGGGCCATCGTCGCCCATCTGGGTCGCTACTCAGCGGCGGAGGCGGAGCTGGAGGCGGCGTTCGACGCGGCCAGCGAGCGCACTTACAGATTGCTGAGCGGCCAGGTGTCCCGCATGATGCTGGAGCTGGACACTGCGGGGAATATTCGGCTGGAGGATGCGAGACCTAGTGACTTGTGGTACCCCTCATGCATAGGTGGGGGGATAGGGGGGGAGGGAAGGGGAGGGAAGGGGAGGGAAAGGGGGTGATGGAGCGCTGCACGGGGTTGCGGGGTTAGGAGGGTTGTTGGTGGTGGGCGACGGTAGAGCGGATGGAAAGGGGCGAGGGGGAGGCACTAGAGTGGATAGCTGCGTCATCACTTAGGGCTGCGCGGCACTTTGCCGCCACCCTCGCCGCCAAGAAACACAGCATTAGGATTGCTGCCGCCCTCGCAGTGACTGCAGACAACGGGGTATGTGGGGATTGGGACAGGCTCCTCGTTCGGGCTGGGCGGTTGCGGTTGTTGGAGGCGTACGGCGGGAACCTGACATCCGAGCTCTAGGGGGCTATGTGGATGTAGCTGAGCTGTGCGTGCGGTGGAGAGTGGAGGGGTTAGGCTCTTCTTCTTTTGTTTATGTGTTAAAGGCTGTTCGCGGCCCTCTATGACGGTCTTTTTCGGCCGTCCCGCCCCTCCCTGCCTGCCTGCCGCATCCCGCTTCCCCACTCCTTCCCCCTTCCCTTGCCCCCACCGGTGTGCGCACACGCATGTTTGTGTGTGTGTATGTGTGTATGTGTTTGCAGACCTGGTCACAACGCGATTCAACTCCGCGGACTACCCCACCAGTCTCGGAGTCAGCGGCATGCAGGTCACCGGAGTGACGCGGTAGGGGGGGGCCGGGGGGGGGCCGGGGGGGGGACCTTCCGCATCAGGCGATACAGATCTGGTGTGTGTCTTTGTGTGTGTGTGTGTGTGTGTGTGTGTGTGTGTGTGTGTGTGTAGCCTGGTACACGTCCCGGATGTGCCGAGCGTGTCTTTAGGGGGGGCTTGAGGGAATTTCCGCTGTGGAGGCGG